CCCCCCCCCCCCCCCGGTGACAGAGACACTGAAGAGCCACGGCGGTTGTATTTAAGTTATTTATTTTATCACAGACTGTGTAGTAATTTATACTGTAAATAGCAAAAAAAAAGTGCTCTATGGAAACGGGAGCAGCCGGGCAGGGGGGGGGGGGGGGGGGGTGGGGTGGGGGTGGGGGGTGTCTCTGACCAATGAGATGCTTCTATTGTACAGCAGATAAACGGAGCGCCGGCTGAACCTGGAGATGGCACTTTGTTTTTATTTACAGCTCCCTTAAAGGGCCGGAGCCCCATGAGCCACGCCCCCGAGCATAAACCCACTTCAACACCCCCCCCCCAGCCCCCCCCCCTACGGCGTAGCATCATATATTCTGTGTCTTGGATTCCCCCATGCACCTGGATTGCCTCTTGCAAGAATTTGCACAAACAATAAACCCACAGTCCAACCTGAGCTGCCACAGTCGGTGTTTCTGTCTGCCCCCCCCCTCTCCAAGGAGAGAAGAAAACGGTCCAACTCTGAAAAGGTCCAGAGGTAACCGAAACACAAAATCAGCAGCTCTTTGATTCAGTAAAGAACCGAATCCCTTCACACCTCAATAAGAATCCAGTTCAAACTATCAAAATCCAATAAATTCTAGTTAATCACATTTCAAAATAAGAGCAATTCACACAGAGATGATGAAAAAAGGTGCCACGCTAAGAAGACTAATAGATTCCTGTGGTTCGGTCCTCATCCTGAGGGGGCACAAGGCGACTGTGGGAAGAAAACATTAAAAGGAACACTGGATTTCATCTGGGCCCCTTCAAAGCACGGAAGCTGTGGTAGAAAAAAGGAAAAGTATAAAAAGGTAGGAACCAGCGGGCCTCCGGCTGTTCACATAAAACTTGATAAATGAAGGAATCACCTCTCACATGTGCAAAATAAAGAGAAAAGAATGTAACAGTGTTTTTTAGGCGCTCTCAGGTGGAAGCAGCTGTGTGGATCTGAAGCTAAAATGAGGGAATATGAGGACATCTAGTGAAAATAACCGGTAACTACAGAGAAATCCAGAGACGCACGACACTCAAACTCATAAAAACTAAACCAGAGGAAACGTGAACTCTGAAAAGAGAAACATTAGGTCAAACTTTTGGGTACCAAAAAGATGAGAAGCCAGCAGGAGGTGGTGAAATCCTCCCAGTTATTCACTAAACTTTGAGATTTGCTTAACAAAAAATAAAAAAAAGTTAGTTAGCAGACACGTGGATCTCCCAAAAAAGATGGACATTTGGTGTGAGATGCACAGTTTTCAGTACATTGTGAAATGCATGGACAGCAGCAACTATGATTTAATAAAACCTGATTTAGCTTTGCTTTTAACCAAATCAATGCTTGAAGTTAGCTCCATTAGCATTAGCTTTAAGAATTCAAATTTTCTGTTATTTTTCACTATATGTCCCAAAAAAAAGCCAAATCACTGAGACCATTTTGACTTGAATGGATGAATTTGTTTGATTATCCTTCTGCAAAGACACCCAATATGGATTAAACCAACACAGACACAATTCAAATGAACAATTTAATCAATTTAGAACTTTTATGAGGGTTTGGGAGCATTTTAGATTGACTGAAGCCCCCTGAAAACTGATTCTGTATGATTGGTTTCTTATTGGTGAAGGCTGATCATTCTTTAAATATGAGGAT